TTGTTTGTGTCCTTGCTGAACTCCTGCAATGTTTAGCAAAATGTCCTTTGCGTCCGCACGTATTGCAATTTCTATCTCTGGCCGGGCATGTGGATAAATGTCCTTTTTTGAATTACTGACCACAGTTGCGGCAGTTGTTATTTTCGACAATGTTTAGGGTTGGTTCATTCTTTACGTATTGTGGTCTTGGTACTGCGTTATAAGTTGGGAATTTTAGGTACTGTTGATGGATTTCAGTGCCTTTGTCGTGAACTAATACGTAGGATAGTACGTTTTCTGGGGTCAAGTATTCTATACATAGTTTCTTCTGGATCTCGACATTTGTCATGTTTGTGATGAAAATGTCTCTTACTAATTCTGACTCGAGTTCCCCCAGTTTACAATTTTTTGCTAGTTCAGAAAGTATTTCGTGGAATTTTTATAAAGACTCAAGTTCTTTCTGTCTTCGGCCAAAAAATTTAAATCTTTCGTATGTTAAGTTTGTAGTGATCGTGAAGGTAGTTTTTAGTAGTTCCCAAAATTCTGCGAAATTAATATCCAGAATTCTTTTCCCAGGATTTTTATGTGAGAAGCATTTCTGTCCTTCTTTTCCGAGTGCTAGGTATAACTGTGATTTTAGCTTCTTGTCAATGTCTCCGATTTGGAGTCCATTGAATTTTGCGTTGTCTTCCGCCCTTCTCCTTCTCAATTCTTTGTTATAATTTTGTACGGCTATTCTGTGGTGTTCTTCTTTTTCGGCCCGACGGGCTTGATCATCGGACGGGTCCGGTGGTTCTGCCGTAGGGTATGCTAGTTCGTTTCTTATCGGTGGGTCAATTACATCTTCGATGTCTACGGAATCTTTCGCGATAATTGTCAATTGAAACTTTTCCGACCACCTTTCCCAGTCGTGTTGATTTTCATTTGATGAGTTGTTCCAAAAAAACTCTAGTCCTCGTAGATTCGATTCGTTTGACTGCGCCAAGTTAAAAAATTAGGATAACACTCGTGGTTGATTAAGTGTGGGTAACTTAAACTAAGACTAGATTAAGACTAAGGTTGGGTAAGATTCCTACAGTAAAATGTAGGCTTTTATTTAAGACTAAATAAAAGACGATGATTGCTAACTAAAGTAAAAGAGGTTAAAAAGATTGAATTAGTTTTCTGTTGTTTTGTTGCATATCACAAAAGATAGTGAACAAATTCCAAGTCTACCAAAAGCCGTTGCGCTTTTGGCAGGTGTATATAAATTAATAACGTAAAGGTCAACGATCAGTAAAGCTCAGAATTTAAACGATCAAACATTAATAATACATTTCACACTTGTAGTCCCCGGAGGCACATTTCAGTGTATCCCAGTCTCTTATCCTGACAAATTTGAGTATCAATCCAGATTTCGATCCTCTTGAATGGCTGCAGGGAAGCTGATTCCCATATGTTTTTTTAATTTTTTCCTGGGAAAGAGCGTGCCTTCTTTTCCTTCTCTTGCGCTCTCTGATCCACTGTAGCTACCACACTCGCTACTATCATTTCATGACAGGCTTCGAATTAGTGAGTGTTGAGGCTCGTCATTGTTGGTGGGCCTCGTTTGGTGTGGTCTCCTCTATTTATTGTTGAGTTGGGTCTACCCCGCTCACGCAGTATTTTTACTGATCATTAACTTCGGGTTGCCAATTCTGTTTGGGACTGCTTGCTTTATTTTTGGGTTGTTTGTATTATTGTTTGCGTTTGTGACAATTTTTCCTGTGTTGCCGTTTGTTTCATTGAAGAGTCTTTTCCTTTCGGGCCTTTGGCCCTCTCGGGTGATGTGTCTTGCTTGGTGGTTCTTATTAACCTTCCGTCGTCCATGTCATCGGATAGGCTGGTCGGGCTTACTGAGAAGATAGTTTTCGGAAATTTTATGGTTTTTTCGTTCTTGTTGATTGCTTCTCGTGTATCATTTATCTGTATTCTGCTTGTCGAGATTGATATCCAGCTTCCGTATGTCCTTGTGGTTGTACGGCTGTGCCATCTTGGGTCGGATAGACTCTCTTCCCTACCTGGTTCTCCTTTCCAAACTATTTTTTGCTGTCTTCCGCTTGATGTTTGTGGTTCATTTTGTTTTTCTGCGCCTCTTGTTATGGCCCAGTCTGAAATGAATCATTCCTTAACTCCCTTGGTTTCCATTCGCCGACTCATGTTTTTCTTTAGAAATTCGGTAGAGTTTATTGTTTGTTGTGCTGTTATTTTTGTAGGCAGCTCTTTTCTGAGTGAAAGTTTGATCTAATCATCGTTTTTGTGTAGTTTTTTTCTGACCCTGATCGGTTTGATTGAAATGTTTGAAATGCGCTAGAAATTGCAATTGAGTAGCTAACTTCCTTTCGTTTTCCGCTCGCGTTTTCATCAGCCAAATCGGTGCATGATTCTGATTGGCAAAACAATTCAAGATTTGAGATGAATGAGTTAATTGACGCTACCACAAATTCCTCGTCCTACTCGATGGGGGTTAAATAATCCTACCGGATTTCTGGACAGATATATTATTTTAAGCCTATTTTCGTCATCGCAAAGTAATTTATGTCAGAGGTAAATGGGATCAAACGATCAATTCATATGAAAAGCATTCTTTGGATGGTTTTTGATCTTTCGCTGGCGTTTAATGCGCTGATTCAAGATTGGTGGTCTGTGATGACGGTAAAGTGTTTACCAAATAAATATTAATTGGTGTGTTATATTGCCCATACGATCCCTAATAACTCTATTTCATCTACGGAATGTTTTTCAACTACTGATTTTTGGAAGCTCGATACGTATACTATTGCCACTCCGCGTTCTTATGTAATTACTCATGTGCGGCATTTAAGCCAAATATAGGTGCGGCTCAGATCACGGGTCTCTAAATTGATTGAAATGTTTTTTTTTTTTTTCATTTATTTTAGATACAAGTATTAGTATTTGGTTAAATCCGGTTGTATGATCCGTTCCGTTTTCCAACCATTTTTTTTGTGTTTGTGTTAAAATGAATACAGTGCCGACGCTATTTTTGATAATTTTGGTATATGTCTTGGGAGATGGTGCATTGAGCCCTTGAAATTTTTGACTTGTTTGATAGTTTTTGGTCGCGTGAGTTTTTGTATCGCGTCTGTTTTTTGGTTTAGTGGCTTGGTGCCTTCGCTAATGATTTGATACCCAAGCCATTCAGCTTGGTAACACACGAATTGGTTTTTATCGAGTGATATTGCTAAGTTTTCGTCATTTAGTTTTGTTAAAGTTTTTTTTAGTTGCTCTTTGTGTACGCCTTTAGACCCTTTTATTAAAAGTAGCATGTCGTCTAAGAATACAAATGTGTTTTCACTGCTAGTATATGTGAGATCTATTGCCTTTTGAAAATCGGCTGCCTGTCCGTGAGGCCGTAAAATCCCGTTTGCAATTCATATCTTCCAGCCGCATTGCCTCCAATGAGGCTGAAATTGCACTGTTTTTCGTTTCGAAAATCAAAGTGATCTGTGAATATGCATATTGAAGATCGAGTGTTGAAAATAGTGTTGTTTCTTTTCGTCGTGATGATTTGTACAATTTTGTCGAGTAGCAATTTGATGTTGGGCATTTGATACTTGTTTTTGCGAATGAAATTAATTTTTTTTCCAAACTAGCGCTAAATTTACTGTTTAGTCCTTTTCTTACCGTTCTCACATTCGCACAAAGAAATTGCCTGTCCATCAGTTTATCGAGTTTTTGATGTTTTTCTGGTCTATTAGTTGGTTCAATTCTTTCACCAGGCTTTTTATGAGATGAATTGGCACTCTTCTTCTTTTGTGTTGTTTTAGGTTGATATCCTTTATCAATTGTGGTTCCATCACATAATTTTTTGATTTTCCATTTCCTACTTATAGCTGTTGGGAGGTGACTTTGACCCACTGCTTGATCTCTTGGTCCGAGTTTCTAATTTCCTGTATGTTGATTATTTGGTTGTGTTTCTGTGTGTCTTGAACTAACCTGATGCCCATTTTTGGTAGAACGTTTTTTCCGATTGTTTCCAGTTATTTGCTAGTTGCTCTCAGTCATAGGGTGTTCCCACTCTCTTGAACAGCTCTTATACTTTGCTTCCCTTTTGATTAAATCAAAAGGGAAAACCCTTTTGAATAAACGTGTTGGAAAAACACGTTTATCCTTTTTGGATAAACCAAAAATGATAAACTAAAGTTCTCACCAAATCTTATTTGAAACTTAGATTGATCAAATTCTTTTCTTCTGGCGAAAACTAATTTATGCCCGCTGGAAAAATCTATTACAAATTAAGCCTTGAGCTTCAAATTGCGTGAGCAATATTTTGAGCTCGGCAACAAGTGATACCATTACATGCGGAGAAAACTTGTTAGGCAACTTAACGCATAGCTGCACTTACACTCAGGTTACAAATGCCGCCGAAAAACCACAATTTGGTGAAGTGGGTGGTTAAGTAGTTACGTCTCCGCATCTCAATCGAAAGGTCGGATGTTCGAGGCCCAACATGATCCGTGCTCGTTGCTTGAGGGTGAGGCAACATTACCCAGTCCAGAAAAATAACCAAAAAAAATAGCATGTAGTTCTAAACAGGGGCACAACAGCGGTTCGCCGTGTTGGTCCTTTCCACCGTGGATGAATGGTCTTAATAAATTCAAATTTGAAGCTTTCAATAAAACATAGGAACGGGTTTTGCGAGTCAGATTTGCCAAAATATTCCACAAGATGTCCACAAAGTTAACATTCCGGTGACGAAAAAGCTTAATCATGACATTAAACTTGAAACTTTTTTTGATGCCCAGATTGTTGACTCCAGAATGTCCAGAATTTAGCGACTAGATGTCCAGACACCTAGGTTTTTTAGTCAAGACTTTCGCGAGCAAAAACTGGTACGATTTTCGTCACACAATTCACGATTTTTAGAAATTCCATTCGCGCGATTCGATTTGGGTCTAATGAGCGGTGCAACATTGTGTCTCGAACTCCGGTCTGATTTCTTGAGTATTTCATTTTTTTCTTACTTTTTTGTAAGGAGCACATTGAGCAATAAACTAATTCGATTTAAATGGCTTTAGATTTTAAGAGCGACCTGCAATTAAATCAATTTAACATAATCTTTTCATATTCAATCATGCGTTGAAAGATAAATTTGTGTACAGAATAAAATTTCTATCCAAAATATTTGATAATTGTCAATGGTGTAAGTAAAAACAGTTAAATAATGGGGTGCTTGTCTAAGCTGTAATTATTTCTTGATGCAGCTTTGATCGTTAATTTTAAAAACGTTTCAATTGTCGGCAGCGTATAAGAACGTCTTGATAATGTGCTGCTCTCTCAACTGCTGGACCTTCACATCTCCAGGCATGTCTGGAACCATGTATGCCACAATTGTTTTGATGAAGAACACCAAGTGCTCAAACACACAGACGAAAATAAACTGGGCTGCCAGTGCTTTCCAGTACTGCTCCGAGAGACTTCCAGCATCACCAGACCCGGCGCCCATTCTATACGCTTTGTAGTAGCAAGTTTCAGGGTTGCATGCAGTCATGTTGTAGGCTTCCAACAGATTATCCTCACAATCATAGCCTGCAAAACTGGAAGTTGCATTTGCAGTTGTATAGATGAAATCCCAAAATGTTGCATCATTCTTATGCGCATCACTCACGCTGTACAGATACTTGTCAATATAAGTTGAAGTGATGGCGATGGTGAACGCATTGAACAAAACAGAGAGTATCCCAACCGCTTCCAGGATAGAGTACCAGGATCCGATGTCCTGTGCCTTCTGCGCCCAAGGTCGCTGCAAGGCAGTTACAAACTTGAAAGCATCAAGTCTGATTTCGATCACATTGTTGACAAATGCGAAAATTGGCGCCAACGGAAAAGCGGTTGCGAAGAGTGTAGTGAAGCCGAACTGTATCACCATCTCAAGGTACTCGCCGAACAGGTTCATTTTGGGCTGCGGAGACAACAGAAAGTCTTTCTCCCAAGGCTCGTCTATTTCATTTTTAACAACAGCTTCGGATTCCCCGGCGGCCATCTGCTGCTTGATTCGTTTATTTTCATCTGCTTCAGTCTTTTTTGTCCGATACAGTTCCATAGCCAGTGGGACTCCAATCTCCTGGACGTTGTTGATGAACTGTTTGCCGACCATGATAATAACAAGCTGGAATGTCAGCTCGAACAGACATCCACCTGGTTGGCACTCTTCCTGTCTGCTTCCCAAAATGGTATTGTAGTGTCCAGGGTATCCCACGAAGTTACCCTTGAAAAACGCGATGTAGATAATCGATGAATAGTAATTGACAAACTGGAAAAGAAACATTTTCAGAGTGTAGGAGTCTTCGTATTCGGTTTCAGTTCTAGGACACTCCAGATCAGTCAGTTTCGTGGCAAGAATCTGGTAAACAAAACTGAACGCCATGATAGCCACTAAATTCAAACAAGCAGCGGTTCCAGAAGTAACCACACTGGCTTCGTCTTGCAGCCCGGCGTTATTGAGAATTCCCAAAATGATTACTCGGTATACAATCACTCCCACGATAGCTGCGACTACGATAAAAATCATGAAAAGGACAGTCGAAAGAGACATCGCGAGACGTGGGATCTTGTAGGAGAAAGGCATGAAGGGTTCCAGACTCTGGGTCACTGGATTTTTCTTCATCCAGTTTGCTTCGTTCTTTTGAGCCGCTTCTTCAAACTCAGGTCGCAAGGTTTCCTCGGTCTCTTCGAAGTCAAAGAGATCCCATTCGAACTGAAGCTCATTCTGCTTTCGCTTCCAGAACTCAAGAAACATAGTGGACCAAAGAGCCATCAGGATAGAATACACGACGGTCAGATCATTGTCGAACAGATGAGTTAGACGAACGTTAGTACACGAGTCCTGAAGCAACCAAAACATGCATGGCTTGTCGCATTTCGGACACATAATGTAGTTAGCGTTGGGACCCCCTGGACATAAATCATCGGCAGTTTGGTTGGATTTCATTGTTACTAGACCATAGAAGAAAGCCACTAGGCCAAACCCAGACGCAATTAGAAGCATTGTAGTGTAGTACCCCAGCCAAGAAAAGTACATGCCAATTTTCTCTCCAAAGTATCTTCTTATAGGATCCATGGGTTGCTTTTTGTACCATGCTTTGGGAGAAGCCCACGCGTAGTAAAGCTTCTGTCGTGCATTCAGTTCGTCCAAACTTTTGATCCAGTGATTCGTGTGAATTTCGTCGTCCAGTTTGTATTCGCCGGCGTGCAGTGGGAATGCAGCAGTCATGGCGCCAGACGCAATCATCCGGTTGAGTCCCATTAGCTCCTCCAGTCGTTTTTCCTCGGTGGATCCGTTGACAGATTCTGGGTCGTTGGGTCCCCCGATGATAGAGGCTACCCGAAAAACTGTGTTGTCCAAAAGGTACCTATTATATATTTTCATGGATTTACTTCCAAGTAAAAGCCATTGAAAAGCAAAAGGCGAAAATTGTCAACGGTAAGGTAAATGTAAAGATTCTTTTCAAGTTTCATAAACGTAACTTAGGCGGAAGAAAATTGAAGTTATTTCCAATTAAAGAAAAATTTAATGTAACTTCAGTGCTCTGTAACCCAATTGGGCTCGTTAACTGTCCCCTCACTGTTTCTGGTGCTTCAGGTTTAAACTCTCGTTATATGCATATTTACCATTAACTATAAGAAATAAATTCTTCCTTTCTTTCTTTCGCTGCTGGAAAACTTATTTAGAGATATCGCTAGATTTTTTGTTTTAAAGTATAGTCATATACATGATACCTGGTGATTCTGATTCTGTCGGCAATAGTGAAGAAGTTCTCCTCTCCCAGTTCACTGATTGCGAACTTGTCCCTGTATTTGTTCTCGAACTCGGCCGTAAAGTAGTTGTAGGGGTTCTTTACGGCTGAAAATCCAAAAAACAATCAAATCATCGGTTAAGTTGGAACAGTGAGGTTTTCTAAAATAAGGACGGTAGCGTATTTGTGAGTTTCATTTTGCAGGTCTTTCCCATTATAGCCCCCCCCCCCCCCAGAACAGTTGTTTTGGTGTTATGGGGGACTTATAATATACAGGGGGCTATGATGGGAACGAACCTATTTTTTGACTGCACTGTGAATTTTTCCTGCTTTAACTTTGGCGTTAAAATTTTATTTGCACCCGCAACAAAGTACTACTTTCTGAACATTTTGTGTGGAAGATGACATCATAAAATTACGTTGCTTTCCTAATTATCCAAACAACACTTCAGGATCTACAATTTCGAACTTTCTTAGTTGGGATATTTAAAGTTTTTTTAATCATCCAAAGTTATAGGACTGATAGTTTATAATACTTAACTAGCTCCTCAATTTCGTCATCGTCTTCTGGGAAAGTGGGCGGGTTGAACAAAGTCACTTTGTTCATCAGTCGCGTGGCTAAACCAGGCGACTGTTCAAGGTCATTCCACTTCAGTGGCATCTTCATCTTGTTCTGTTCCGCATACTTGAACAGCAGCTCATAAGGTGCGTGCACTTTGTAGAATTTGGTGTCTGTGTCTCCCCCCTCCAACTCAACTTCCAGCCCTTTTCCTTAAAAGAAATTAGGAAATCATCATAATACGTTTTTTTTAATCTAATCTTTGTAAAAACTTTTTTACCTGCTTCTTAAAATCTTTTTCATTAAGCAAGTAAGGTGTTTAATACTTTTACTTTTTTAAAACCTTGTCAAATTTCGCTGCGCCAGAACTTACGGTTGTTCTGAGAGCCGCAGCGCTTAACGTACTTCGGTTGAATCGACAATAAAACTTTGAAAATCTCCAGAAATAAACAAAAACCAGCCAATTTTTTCTAATGTTTTTTTTCTCCACGGCGAAACTGTTTAATTACATAGTAAAAATTGCTAACCTTGCAAGTTGGCCATGAACAGATCTCTGTATTGCAGCAGAAGACTCTTCTGGTCACTGTCCTCCAGGTCTTTGAACACCAAAATGTAGTCTATAGGTTTCACCTTCCCCATATGGTCCCTCCCCTTCATGTACATCGAGGACTGGGAGGAGGCTGGTGCCTGGATTTGACTCTTTTCCACTTACATTTAATCAAAATAGTAATCATAATAATTAAAATAAATTGTTTCCTAACGATATCTAGTTACAGATTAATTTAAGGCTCATCAACTAATAGCTGTGGTGCAGAAGTTGATGGTTTGGGTCCAAAATTGGGCTGAAGAATTCCACAAAGAATTAGGTTGGTAAACTCATATTCAAACCCTTTGGGGATATTTCATACTAACTATTTGAAAAAAATTGCAAGCAAAAGTTATAATTTTTGATGCCGAAGAAATTTTTTTAAGAAACTTTTCTTTTTTCTAAAAATTATCCATTGTCTTTTTAAATATGGTTCAAAATCTTTCAAAAATTGCATTAAACTCAGGAAAGAAGAAGTTCAAGTTGGAAAAGAGCCTTTGAATTTTGAGGCCCATCGTGATCTGCAGTAGTTGCATGTGCATCACTGTTCTGACTTGAGTTGTCCATATCAGATGCTGCTTCTACTTGAGAACTGTCTACTCTTAATGCTCCAACAGTCCCAACATTCTGTAGTTCTATGTCACTATTGTTCATGCCAACAAGTGATTATAATAGTTATGACTATCGCTAAAGTTTAACCATGGATGGTAAACGTTGTTTTGCACGAGTAGAGCAAGTTTTGAACTCACCGGTATGTTTGTCGAACCCAAACAAACGATCAAAGTTTGCCTCGTCTGTCAATTGTTCCTGTGTTGGAAGCCGATTATGTTCATATTTATTCAAGAGATCAAACAGAGTAGGTGAACTACCATATATTTGACGCCTGGTGTATCAAAGTAGAAACTTAATGTCTGAATATAGTGTATTTCTTTTAATAAATGCAAAAAAGAATTAAGTAAAAATTTTCCCTAGACTCGAAGTGATTTTGTTGATTTTTACAAGAGCTGACTTTATGCCTCAATACTGGCTGAAAAAAACCAAAATTGCAAAAACAACTCAAATCTTCCATCCACTTTTGCAGGATGAAACAATGGAACTCAATGAACTCAGTGAGAACCAGGTCTCAAAGGATTAAGCTAGCACCAGGGCTTAACAGAACTAGGAGAACTCGGCTGCTTTTAGAGCAGAATAATTCAAAGTGCAGCATTTAGAGCCCCGCATTGGCAAAAATAAGATTGCAATCGATTTTTAATTGATTATAGGTAATTCCTGTAAACTCTAAATTGAAACAAAATAGGAATTTTATACAGGTTAAATCAAAGTTTTTGTGTAAAAACAAATTATATAATTTAAAAAGTGTGATTTTTTCTGTACAAAATATATATATATATTGGTATAAAATTCATCAAAATCTGTACAAAGTCGGTTATAATGTCTAAAACAAATGAATATATTGTCTAAAAAATGTGAATTTTTTCCTCAAAAAACATGCTATTTGAAAACACAAAAAACTCTAAGGCTTAAAAGTTTGATTTAAGGATCGTTTTTGTTCATAAAAGGTGCCAAAAATTTGTGCTCAGGAAAAATTTCCCACTGTGCTATAATCAGCTAGAGTCATTTATCAAGAAATATTTCCCGCAAATCACAGGTTTCATGAGGTTTTTATGAAAAGTTTCAACGTAAGAGCTTTGGTATCAAGTAAAAGTACGTTTATGCAATATTTCTTTAAATGGCATTTCTAAGATCTATATTTTTAGCGTAATTGTTTAAAATCAATCGACAAAAACAAGAACAAGACTGCTCGTACCAGGGCGAAGCCCTGAATGTTCCGACTACCTTTTAAGGTTTATGGAGCAGCAGTAATAACATAAAAAATTAAATGAAATAAAAATGAAAAGAAATTTTTTTTCTTAAATTTGAAATCAATTTTTTATGAAAATCATCCCCCCATACGCAATATAAAGTACAAAAAAATAGATTTCGTTCCTTGTAACAAATCAATTATGGCAAATAAGCTTCGTTCAACCAATTTGGAGCGACTTATAAGACGGATTAAATCTCCGCTCACGCGTTAAAATGCGAATTATATCGCGCGTTAATTGTCCCAAATGGCTCAAAATGGCCAAAATGGCAATCTTTAAACCCTCATAACTTTACGAAAAAAAATCACAGGTGAAATATCTTTTCAAATTTAAGCTCAGGACAACAATGGCTTTCGAATGATATAATAACATTCCGTCAAAAATGGCTAGTTAAAAAGTCGAAATTTGTCTGAAGAAAAAAAAACCCACGCCGAGCACAAATATTCCGTTACTTTCGTATCGAAAGTCGGAACAAAAATCTAATTAAAACAATCAGTTTTTGCTGCAAAGTGTTCATATATTACTGATTTCAATAGTTTTAGTATGTCAAAAATCAGCAATAAAAACAATAGAAAAACAAATTTTTATTATTTTCAACTTACTGGCATCAACTCACGATGTTTCTTTGTTCTATCTCAAATATAAAATTAGACTGCTTGTATCATGGCGAAACCTTGAATGTTCGGACTGCCTTTTAAGGTCTATCGAGCAGTAAAAACATTAAAAAATTAAATGCAAGAAAATAAAATCATTTTTTTTATTTTAAGATTTTTTGTGAAAGTCATCCAACCACACGCCATATAAAGTACAAAGGATAAATTTAGCTCCTTGTAACAAATCAATTATGGCAAAAAAGTTTCTTCCAACCAAATTGGAACGATTTCTAGGAGGGATTAAATCTCCGCGTACGCGTTAATGGCGCGAAATATATCGAGCGTTAAAGGTCCCAAATTACTCAAAATGTCATTCTTTAAACCCCCCATAGTGTTACGAAAAATGATCACAGGTTAAATAATTTTTCAAATTGAAGCTCAGGACGACAATACCTTTTGAATGATATTACAAAATTCCGTCAAAAATGGCCACTTAAAAAGCCGAATTTTGTCTGAAGAAAACACCCACCCCGAGCTCAAATATTCCGTTACTTTCGGTACGAAATTCGGAACAAAAACTTGTACAATCTATACATATTCTGTGGACAATAAATGTGTAATCTGTGTACGATTGGTATATATTATTTAGTTGTATATAAAAGTCAACCGATTACAATTGATTTCCTAGTTAATAAGTTCATTATTTGGTGTTGAAAGAGTTTATATATCACAAAATTAGACAATATTGTATCAAGGAAGGACTTGATAGTGGCAGCCATTTCTCACTGCAGTACACAAGAGTCTCCGTGTTCACTTCCGGCGTTATTTTTCATTTTCAGGCATAAGCCGTAAGGCCGGATGTATTCAGGATCGTTAACAATCATATATTCTGGTTTACCATCCGGAATCCTTGTTTTTTCAGGCCTAACTCTCACCTGAAACAAAATTAGGACGACTGGAGTCAAATTAAAGGGATTGATCTTTTATTGACGTTTTCTACTATAAAACACGCGCACCTAGTTTTCCTTCAAAGCATCTATCAGCCCCGCAGAATCAGTTAATAATCATAAGCCAATTAGTTAACAATTTTATCAAATGTATTTGAATCTCACATAAAATCACATAAAGCTACTAGACATTCTACATGCAAATTACGGTTTGTTTGACTCCATTACAAGTATCATCTGTTAAAAAAAATGAATGTCGAATTTAGATATTGAAAACCAGATAGACAGGCAGAAAAGCCGACAATAGATTAACCACACCAATGTATGGATGGACAAGGGCAGTCTGAACATTCAGGGCTTTGCACTGATACAAATAGTCTTGCTTTCTTATATTGGAGCATGATATCCTGGATCTAATGATGAGAACGCTCCGTTTTGGTCTAAATACTTCAAGAAACGTCATGACGGTGAATTCTGACTAATTGATAAAAAGAAATACTTCGGTGTAATAAATATAAACTTACTTGGAAAATGCATGCATGGTTATCGATTACGCAATTTTTGTACGCATCGTCAATTTTGGCAGCAAAATAGGCGCCCTTGCCGCAAGGCTGACCTTTCTTGTCACTTAGCGAGTTCACATCCTTGTCAGTTTCGTACGCTTGGCCACCTTGACGCACCCAAAACCCACCTTGACGCACCCAAAACGGCCGCGTGTGGGCAATATCTGATGTGCTTTTTTTTGTACTTCCATGGAAGCCCACAGCCCATTCATGTGGATTTCCGTCCATCTTGAGCCAATCATCGTTTCCATTGTCATACCTTCTTCGCACACGAAGTCCAATTCTGGTCCAATTAGAATTGGGTTGATAATACGGCATTCCTCCGCGCATTTGCTTATCTCCGTTTCCGCTTGGAAATTTGAAGTCACCAGCCGAATCGAAATCAATTTCTCTCAAACCCAGGACGTGAATCAAACCCTTCTCTTTGTGCAACACCGAATCTACAGGAGGAAAACAAACAAAACAGTGCACCATGTAACATCAGATACTGAGCATCGCGACGACTAAGTTCTGTTATAAAGCCAAGTCATTACTCTGCCACCGCGTCTTTTAAAATCCATTGCAATCTACTTTAAAGTTCGAGCCCTTTGTCAAAGGAATCCACTATAAAATGAAACCCCTGCATTACGAGGCCAAACTGTGCAATGGATAGGCGCACACTTTTGTGTCTGTATGTTTCTGGATTCCAGAGACAAGACTTTTAAAATGTTTCAAAATGCAAGTAGATTCCACTTACAAAATTTTAGTGGATTTTGCGTACAAATAGCTGTAAACTAAGTTTTGTCGGCACATTGATTCCGCACCGAGCGAATATAGTAGTTGTTCCGGAGTCGGCAAATGTAAGCGGATTCTGCAGGTGTAAGTGGATTCCGCGATTTTTTGCGGATTGCGCTTACAAATTGCGGGATCCGCGTACAATTTTCGGATTCTGCTTGCAGTTTGCGGATTCCACTTACAGTTGCGGATTCCGCAACAGCTTAAGTTTACTAAACAAATGTATGTTTTTATTTGTTCATGGCTTCACAAACTGATTCCGCATTCCACACATTTTGTCGCGGATTCCGCAAAGTTGCTGTTTTTGAGCAATTTTGAGCAAACAGTGTTCAGCTATTTTTCCGTGGAATCCAAAACAGCAGATAAGGTTTAAAAAAAATCGCGGATTCCGCAAAAAATTTGGTTTTTGCCTGTTGCGAAATCCACTTGATTTCACAAAATGCACAGTTTTGCCTCTTAATGTAAAAATTACCGATATATATTTTTTTGTTAGTGGAATCCGATAATGAATTGCCCAGCTTTCGTTCCTCATTTTCATAATAATTTTTATTGGATTTTGTCACAAATTTGATTTCAAAGAGTTTTCGAGTTTGCAGGAAATGGTGCACAATTTAATAATTGCAGCGACAATGTTCAAGACATTGTCATGAGGTACAAAGGCACAAGATATAGTGTCCCTGACGCTTCAGCCAATGATTATAGGGCCTATTTTTCTTAATCTCATACGTGACATGAATGTACGATTGTTACATTTAGCGTCGCTTTTAGTGTGTGATGTGACTAGAAAACATTACAATTGCGTAAAAAATTAGTCACTTTGACATTAAAGACAACATGGTTGCTCGTATATCAGGGCAAAGCCCTGAATGTTCCGACTGTCCCTTAATTCGTATCAAATAGTTTTGGGAAACAAAAATATTCAAAAAACCTACATTTCGGACAATATCAAAGTTCAATTTGGAACGATTTTGTTGAGCAGAATATTTCGCCATGCATAAATAACTCGCGTTAAGCTCTCAGCATTATGAATAATTTCTTCAAAGCACGCATGATTTACTCCAAAATATGGCCAATTTGGGAAAATTCAAACACCCAGAACTTTACAAAAAATAATCAGAGTTAAAATATCTTTTCAAATTTGAACTCAGTAAGTTAATATATTCAATGGGGTATAAAAGTTTTTTTTGCTGAAAACTGTTATTTCGATCGGCAAAAATTGTCTGAATATAAAAACCACACCGTGCATAAATATTCCGTTTTCTTCGAAAGTCGGAACAAGAATTGTTTTAGAAACTCAAAGAAAAGCAAACACAATCAAAACTAAACATTTGCAGGAATTGGTGCACAATGTACGAATTGCAGCGACAATTAAAATTCAAAATACTAAAGAAACTTAACCTGAATTTCGCCTCGACTCAATCGGCGCCTTATTTAACTGAATTTAAACTTCCTAGATTTCCACGAACATTATAACCAAATTTTCGAATTTCCTACCGTCCCAATTTTGCTCGAAAGCCGCAAGACAGTCATCAATAGTAAAATTTACGTTCGAATTATCGTCCACCATGATGAACGCTCCACCTGAAACACTTCAAGAATCAGCTGTGGTTATTCACTCTATCAAATCTTACAAGATTCAACTGAATTCCACATGTGGATCTAGGACAACAAACCGACAGGACTTCACGCCGAATGGACTTCTGGTCGAAGTTTAACTTTAAAAAGGACCTCAAGTCACTCATCGGTAAAACGTTGTTCTTTAAAATTTTAGGCAAGTGTAGTCCATAATAAGCGTTATTCATGGCAATAAATCACTCAGGGTTGGCATCCGTTAATAATATCGGCCGGTTTTGAAAAGAATTAAAATATAAACAAGAAAATTGCCTTCAACTGTGTTTTAATTTTCAACTTTCCTAAACATGGAGGCTTAAATTTTTTGAAAACGCCTATAAGTACTGAGGAAAGATCATGAAATTGATAAATTCTTCAAAAAATTTTCAAATTACTCATATTTCATGACCTAATATGAAAAAGTTTGGCTTCAAAGCCCTAATTTTATGATTCGGCTCGAAGTCTTGTCAGCCTAATGTTCATTACTCGTTTTATATAGCAAGCTACTGACTTATTTACTTAAAAGCTGCTAGTACTTTTTAACATTTCTTTCATGTGGCGTCCCTCATGCTTGAGGGACCCAATGCTTGAAACTAATTTTAGCTTCATTTCAGCCGGTGGCGTCCCTCATCCTTGAGTGACCGAATGCTTGAAATTACTTTTAGCTCACTTATATCCAATCAGAATTGAGTATTAAAAATCTCAAAGTAAATCGCAAAAATCTCAAAGTACGAAAATAAATCCAGGCCATTAGTGTTAATACTGACCGATTAGATAATCAGCAGATGAGTTTTCAAGACTAAAAATGTCGTATGAACTTTAACTCATAAATTTTGATGTTTATTGAATAGTATTGCGGTTGTAACCGCAATTTGAAAGATTTTCGATTATTTTCCAGTGATTTAAACATTTTCTGTTAATATTGACTTCGACTTTGTGAGAAAGGCCTTTAGCCAATAGGAATGCTTAGCGATTTTAATGGTTGAAAGTTTTCAAGCATTCGGTCCCTGAAGCATGAGAACCCTTCCCCTTCTTTAAATTTATTTTTAACGACCTGGTAAACTGTTACTGTAAGCTCTTTGCAAGAAAAAATGAAACGCTTGTTGTATCTTGCAATAACAATATTAAAACTTTTCAGTTCAATTAAAGCCCTTTCAGTCTGTGGTTTGCCGAAACGTCGAATCATACAATTTATGCAAGTGAGATAATCGCCTTTTCATATAATTGTATACAATTACATTCGTGCAAAAGTCTACAGGAATAAAATTGAATAAAAATCTACACGAATAAAATTGTAAAGAAACTTAAAACCTAGCTTGTTTCTTGCGGTTGAAATCTTAGAAAAGTTCTTTTCCCTCATACCTCCTCCTCGCAAAGTATGTAAAATCCCAGGTCGAGGTCGGCCAAAACTTTTCACATGTTTTTTAAAATCGTTTTTGTCTAATATTTCCACATAACTCAAGAATACAAAAAAAATGAAATATCGGATCAATAAAATAAAACAGAAAAAATAAAATAGACCAAATTCAGATTTTCGACTCCATATACATCAGTTTCCCATAGATAAAATTCTTTTCATAAGCATGTTTTGCAAAAAACTATAACTCTAACATTTTTCTAAATTTGGTTATATGCTTTTGCATTCCGGTCAGAAAACACAATATCCCATGATTTTCGCGAATAAAGAACCCTATGGCTAGGTGAAAATAGCTTCTCTAATGCATAGCTGATTACTATCAATTTTCATTGATTTTGTAAATACTTATCAAAGAGTTACAATACCCTTCTTTGTATTGTCCTTACAATTGTTACAATTGTTCAAAATTGTCCCTTTTCATTTTATGGACAACAATTTTAGCGTGATATGAAAATTTTCAAAATTCTTTGATTTTTACTTGTTTTGTTTGACTTTTAATTTCAAAATTACTTTTAGTTTTGTATAATCTTCATTTATTTGGAATTGCGAATAAACAAAAAATATATAATGAAAAAATAAAGATAGAAAAAGGACCCCTGAGGCAGGACATACTATTTTGATTTTAATTTTAATCAATGTTCTGCTGTCATAATATAACGTATTGTCTTGACCAGGGACTACGGTAAAATTTCAGCTCTTTTCGCGTTGAGTCTGTATAGTTAGACTGATTGTTGGGTTACAATTACATTTGGTCTGGATTTTATGCTCATGCCTATATAATAAGGCCCACAAAAAAATTAGGCACTGCTAAATTTGGGTGAGCCGATGCTCCTGACAAAAAAGATCTTAACATATTTTTGTGGTACAATTGAAAAGACCTACAATTCGAAGACTTTTATAAAGAAGTATTTAATTATAACGAGTATTTTCTCAAAAAGCGGCAGCATAGTTACCAGTATTCAAGTTTCAAATCCGTTTCAAATAATTTGTGAAGGATTTTCCCAGAAATCGTATTTGAAATTGAAGCTTTTTCTTTTCCTACCATAACCGTTTGTCATAGCTATGTTCTCAAAAAATATGAGAAAAGACGAATCTCGTAGTTAAATTTGTTGCTTGAGGTTATCAATTTCATGAAGCTGAGCCACATTTAGGCAGACCTTTTTGGGATCTATATCGATCGTAAAACTGAAAACTACTGAAGATCTGAATGTCTCATTTTCCTGAAAAATTTTTGAAAATCTAAAATGGCCCATGCGACCTCCGATTTGAGGGTAGAGGCTAATCGTATTTCAGTGCAAGTTTTCAGTTTTGTTTTTTATTGTTGCTATTGAATAAACATATCTAAGAAAGTTTGCGCCAACAGATCAAAAACACATGATGCAATACCTGGCTTTGTTTCTCTGAAATTTAAGAAATGCTTCGTCGACCGTTGAAAATAAAATAACGAATTCCATTTGGCCGTGCACAAAAACAATTGAAAATTGTTCTAAATTCAAATTAAATTGGCGTTTTAAAAAGTATCAAGAAGCAAAAAAGCAAAAGGTTTCTTGGTGGACATGCATTCTGGTCACTTCGCAGGTGCGAGCATGCAAAAATTTCTGGGCAAATGCATGCTGGTCAATTGGCATGTGCGTGCATACATAATTTTTCTGGTATTATTCTTGATTTTTTTGGCAGAAACATTCTGGTCAGTAAGCAGGTGCGGCCTTACAGAATAATTCTGGGCTCTTACGTTCTGGTCAATTTGTACATGTGGGCATACAGCATAATTCTGGGAATATGCACTCTGGTCAGTTTTTTTTATGTGGGCATACAGGATATTTCTGGGCATAAACATTCTGTTCAGTTTGCATATGCGGCCATACAAGATTTCTCTGGGCATCAACATTTTGGTCCATTTGCACAAACTGTCTGGGCAAATACTTCTGGTCAATGGGTATCTGCTGGCATAGAAGATACTTCTGGGCAAGTAAGTTTCTGGTCATTTAGTATGTGCGAGCTCACGTGATATTTTTGGTGGCATGCATTCTAGTCAATTGGAATGTGCGCGCATAGAAGGCATTTCTGGACACATGCGTTTCGGTTCATTTGCATGTGCGGACTTGCATAACGTTTCTGAGCAAATGCTTTTGGATAGTTCTGAGCATATGCATTTTAATCTATTTGCTTGTACGCGCATGCTTGTGGTCATTTTGCACTTTTGGGCATGCAAAAAATTTCCGGCCAAATGCAATCTGGTTGATTGGCATGTGCGGGCTTACAGGATAGTCTTGGGGACATACATTGCGGTCAATTCGCAAGTGAGGACATGCGTGATAATTCTGGGCATATGCATTTTGGTCCATTTGAATGTACGGGCAGGCACAAAACTTCTGGGCAAAATCATTCTTGTCAATGGGCATGTGCGGACATACAAGATACTTGTGGGCGAATAAATTTCTGATAATTTGGCAT